CAATTGGATATCATGTCGTCACATACATAATTAGCGTTATATACATATACACATACATATACATGTAATTATGTTAAGTATCTATTGGGACGACGAAACGGAAAACGAAAAACAAAAACCTAAACGAAAACGAAAACGAAAACGAAACGAAATCGCATTCGTCGTTTCGTTTTCGTAGCCGAGGCTAAAGCTGAAGCTAAGGCCGAAGCCGAACTCGAACTCGAACCTGAGCTCTGCTCACACCCTTTTCGGGCGGCGATTAACTTGACTTTGTAGGTCACACGATTGGTGCGCTTGTGTGTGTGTGTGTGCGTTTGCATGGTAGATAGCGATGAGAGTGCGTGCAGCATGAAACACGAGACAGCGGAAGCGATATTTTGTAAGAGTTAGTTAAGCTTGAGGTATTTTATTAAAATTATTATCATAAAGTAGCATAGCTTAGCATATTCAAACAACATTTTAGTTATTAAACTACAGACTCAGCTTGCATAGATATCTCCTTACGATTTCTTTATCCATTCATCATCGTTTTTCACATATCACATACACCTGCTCATCTCTAGCTGTGTGAATCATATGTATGCCAGTGTGTGTGACAGTGGAATGCATTGCAGCTTGGCAAGCGAACGTTTAACCGTTGTATAGGAACGCCAACGCTCGTAGGACAACACCCACAATTTATATATGTAGGAACTTATGGAATGTGTTTGATATCAATAAATTATTATCTAATGTCTGTGTGGCGGTCACGTTGAAGTTGACTCGTAAATCATATGCTTCACACTCTATATATACATATGTACAAATATATATATGTATATACATATCACATATCGAAAATTACATAGTTCTTTCTACCTGTATTTTACCTTGCCTATGCGTAGTCCTTTACGCTCAGTTCTTTGGCTCTGACCTTTTTCATATTAATTGGATTGATTAATGTGCTCCAATTTTGGAATGTACGTAACAGAGCTATGGTCACACGCCCATATATACAACGCCCCCCTCGTACGCATACCCATTCCTCTCATATGTTTCGACCCTTGTCGTAGCGCTTCTTGACATTCAATCGGCTAGTCATTAATCCTAGTGACTTTTGCTTAACTATTTATATGACTCCATCCCATGCCAATTAGGGTCCTATTCCAGTTAGCTTTACTGTCTATAGGCTAATGAGTCTATACATATATCATCTATGTACATCAAAGGGTATTTAGCTAGTCACTTATCCTGCCTATGCCTACAAAAAAATTTAAAAAATTAATATCAGCTCAAAATCTTTACGAATCGTTCAACTGGAATGCGTCTGATTGGAAATAGGGGTTAACACTGCGTTAGTTGGCAAAAAAAGCGTTGATAAAAACGTGAGCAATTTTTTGTATGCTTCGAATCGCCCAGAGAAGTATGCTACACAAATTTTTTTATGTGGAATTAATGCAATTGATTTTCAAATTCAGTTTGTAATGGGTAAATGGGGTATATTGGTGTGCCTAACAGATATGCAACAGGTGAAAGGAGGTGTGGCTTAGGCTTCTCCCTATCTGCATACATATATGTATTCCTGATCAATAGATCGTGTCCATAACATTTTAAATATTATGTATTATGTAAAACTTGATAGATTTTGGTTTATTTTTCAATAGATTGGTCAGTGGAGCATCTTTGATATTGAACAGCTTTAGAAGTAGGTTTAGATGTCCGTTTGTCTATTCCTTGAATATGTTTTTCCATTTGAAATTAATGAAATTAAGGATATCTCGTATCGCTATCGAATAACTGAAAAAAAAATAATGCTAGCTTTTTATTTTTGGGGCAGAATCGAGCATATTCTGTTTCAGCTGAGCGCAAAGTTCCTATTGGATAAACTATGTCAAGGCTGAAATTCAAGTTTCTCAATAATTGATTAAGCTTAAGTTAAGATATCTAACTAATCTAGTTTAACAGTCAGTCTCTACTCTCTTTGCTCCCTCTTCCTCTCTCTGACAATGGCTCTCCCTTTCCCCCTTTTACTTATTTATGCGTATTTCCTGTCAGCCAATTTTCGCTGTGATTAATTTGTTTGTTTCCGTTGAAGCAACAAGCTCTCGCTTCCTTTCTCCCACTGCTAATCAATTCAAATCAAGATTAACGATGCGCCGCACAAAAAGCCTTCGAGTTATCCAATTAATGGCGGAAGCTGTGCAAACACTTTTCAGACAACTTCATGTTTTTGATTGATTTTTGCTTTCATTCAATTTCAGCAAAAACATAAATATTATGACGATGAAGAAAACTTCATTAAAGAGCTCCAAAAATCAAACTTATTTTGATGATAAATAAGTTAATGAAAGATTACGAAGGAAGTGCAAGTAAATTGAATGTAATTATCGGAGAACACAATACAGATATCTTTCAATAGAGGAGATCTTCGAATAGAGAATCTTAATCTAGTTCATCTAGATCAGATATTAAATTAGGTCTTATATTATCCATTCATATCGCATAAGAGTATACAAAAATGTCTTCTTTAGCTATCTGGCTTAGTCTTTAGTCTAAGGAGTAAAAATTATATGCCCAATATACTCTCTGAACTGCACTCGCTGAACAAGTATATTTAATCATGATATTTTCGCTTTAAGGATATTTATATAGTATATATTTAGAAAGTTTTCCTAAAGCAATGACCTGTTATGTGTATTAGCGGTAAATGTTCCTGTGGCTTTGTGTGTGTGTGTGTGGCTGAGTGTGGCCTGTGAAGTCAGCAGGCCAAAGCATAAGTTCATATAACTCTGAAAGTTTTTTGCTTTCGCTCTTCATTTTCGTTTATTTTTTTTGTTTTAGTTTTTTGGCATTTTTGTTTTTTTTTTTTCGTTTTTGTTATTGCAATAAACATCATTTTCATAATGCTAAAAGACAGCTACAATCAAGAAAAACAATGTGAAATCAATGTGAGCGCACACACACAAACACACACACATATACATGCATGTATATATGTACATATTTGTTTGCACTTGTGTGTTAGACGATAAAAGTTGATTCGTGCCAGCTTGGAGCAGTAACCAAAAAAAAAAAAAAAAAGTCAACGGCAAAGAATAAAAAAAACGCATACAAAACAATGTGAATGTGAATGTGAAATGCGAATATACCAAAAACAACAATCAACAATCAACAACCAAACGCCGTTAGCGACAGGAGCGGCATCTCACCAATCCCGCTAACCCTGCCAACAACAACAACAGCAGCAGCAGTAGCAGCAATAAAAACAAAAAGCAAAAAAATAACGGAACCATAAATTTATCATTACAGCAGTAGCAAGCAGTAGCAGCACCAACACCAGCAGCAATCGCCGCAGCAGCAGCAGCAACTACCTCAACACTGCAGCATGTGCCCAAAGTAACACACACACACACATACACACACCCACTGAAGGTGGGCGCAGCACCGACGTAGCCGGTGACGCAACGGAACTGCGGGAACCATGCATGTGCTAAAGCATGCAGGAGAGAAAGGGAGATGGCAGGGGTATGGCTGCGTGCTGTTGCAGAGAGCGAGCGGAGCTGCGCGGAAAGGGGACGAACAGAGGAACGACAAGCGACGACGCGTCGTTTTGACTGACAGCGAGACTCCCGGACTGTGTGTGTGTGTATGCGTGTGTATGAGTGAGTGTGTGTGTGCTGCTTGCCTGCTGTTCCCAGTGCTGCTTTGGCATGCACTCGACGATGCCGACGCTTCGTTGCTTTTTGGGCTTTTGGTGTGAGGGAGCGAGAGAGAGAGAGAGAGAGAGAGTAAGAGAGCGAGAGAGGGGAAGAGAGAAGTGAGAGAGCGGTGCGCCGTTTACATATGAAAATTGGGCATGGCTAAAGGAGCCCGACCCGGACCCAGGCACTGGGCCACGGGAACGAACAACTTAAACGAAGCAAAAACCGAAGCGTCAGCGCACACGGCCGGCTGGTCGGGTAGGTAGGTAGATGGCGCTGGCTAGCTTGCTGGCTGGGTGGGTGGCTCTTGGGTTAGGTTTGGCTGACTGCCTGGCAGCGGGTGAATGCGCGCTGCCAACGTCAGCAGCGACGCGTCGCTGTGTTGTCGTTGCTACGTGTATACACGCGGTGCCGAGCAACAAATTGAGTCAGTATCGCACAAACAACACTAACGGAAACATCAACGTGCAAAGCGAGGACGGACAGACGTTTTCTGTCTCGACTGTCTCACTGTGCGTGTATGTGCGACTGTGTGTGCATGTGCGTGTGCGTGTGCGTGTGTTGTTACTTTTGGCATTTGCATTTGGACAAACGCGTGCAAGTTGTTGTTGTAATCGCCAGCAAACAATACGCAGCAGCAGCATAAAGAGCATACAACAGCAGCACAATCAAAAGAAACAACACGAACAAGAACAGCAGCAAGTTAGAAGAATACAACAACAACAATAACATCAGACAATATTGCAACTCTAAAAATAGCAAGCGAGCGGCAAACTTCGCCGTTGCTTTCAACTTTTTTTTTGTACTTTTTTTTTGGGTTAGTTTTTGTTGTACTTTTTGTCGGATTTCTTTTCGTCTGCTCATTTGCGCGTCGAATGCATTTGAGCAATGCAAAAATATATCAATTCTGTTTTTTTTTGTCCCGTTGTTCAGCGAGCAAGTGGAAAAAGTATAAAAGTCAGTGACAAGCGAAATGTGCATACAGCAACAGCAGCAGCAGCAGCAGCAACAGCAGCAGCAGCAGCAACAGTAGCAGCAGCAGCAGCAGCAGCAGCGGCAGCAGCTGCTGTAACAGCAACAGCTTTCAATTGATGTTGCTCTAGCTAGCCATATCGCCTAAAAGAATATCTATAATATCTGGCTTACACATGCTCATGCTTCGATGGCAATATGCACGAGCAGCAGCTACAGCAGCAACAGCGACAGCAGCAGCAACATTTCTGACAGCAGTCGCATGCAAAATATTGCCGTTATTCATAAGCAAGCAGCAGCAGCAACTATTGCTAACTAAAATAGCAACAACCACAACGACAACAACAGCAGCAGCAGCAGCAGCAACAGCAACAACAACATCAACGAATATTGCAACCAGACGCCGCAGACTATCAAAGTGGGTACCGTTAACTGCAGACAGACACACACACACACATATATACACATATGTTTTATGTATGCACTATATATATATATATATAATGTATGCTAGTTTAACCAACAAAACTGCAGCCAAGTGCAAACATCAGCAGCAACAGCAACAACAACAACAACAGCAGTTGTCCGTTAAGCGCGTTTTCTAAATGAGTTATGTACTCATGTACACACACACATACATAGATCTGCCTGCATATATGCATTTACATATATATACATACATACACACACATATATATACACATTTGTATGTATGTATTCGTATGCATTGGGGCATTGGCATTTGCGCAGCATTGTGGCATGCAGAGCTCGAGTTAACCACAAACACAATATACACAATTCCAAAAAGCAACCAAAAAAACAGTCACAATGTTGCAATCGGGCGTAACCGACTGCATGATACCCTCTCACGATTGTTCGAGTGCAAGCTAGAGCCTGCTCTCCCAGTTAACTGTTAAACTTTACCACTAGAGGCAAAGTTATTGAAGATCAAGTGTCCTGACACGCCCACAAGAGGCATATAAAGCAACATATTGCTGGAAAAGCTTAAGAATAAACACGAAGAAACATGAATCTACTACATATATTCGATCTTGAGTTGTCATTACGAGCATATATTTGTATAATCCCATTTGAAATTACTAGTAATAGTTAATTTAGTCGGAAGGACAGACGGACGGCTAGATAGATAGTTGGATAGATAGAGATACGAGCAGACAAATGACCCAATATACCCCTTTTGATATCATTGGCGTGTATGCAAACCCTCAGCAACTATATATGTATGTATGTATGTATGTATGTGCCCCTCTGCCCACCCCACCCCCTCTACCCCATGCGTCCCTCAGCTGAAGTGCTTGGCAATCTGGACAAAAAGCTTTTCGTGTCAGCCACAGATCCTGGGCCCGAGTGTTGTGCTAGCGTAAGCTAGCTTATTGCCAATGCGATAACACAGGAGGGGGTCACACACCAAGAGGCCGACGGGGGGGTGGGGTAGGGGCATAGTTGGGAGTTGGTAGCGAGAGAAATAATAACGGTATATACTCGATGCAATTGTCGCTATAAATGCCATTGTCGCATTTCAACATTTATTATTTTCTTACATTGTTCGAGAGTCGAGTATTCACTGTACTTTCAAATTTTTGAATCAATATATCAACATGCATATATGTATGTACGTATGTATGTATGTATGCATATAGCTCTCAGGCTAGTTAAAAGTTCATGCTCAAGTTACAGTTACTTGGCAAAGTTTTTGTTCTGCTCTTTCTCCAGATTTTGTTTTTTGTTATTTTCTCTGGGCAACATGTCTAAATGGCTTTTTACTGTTTGGCTTTTATTTCCTTCTTGTTTCATGTAAGTTCGTCATTTTTATTCGAAATTTCTTTTCATATTGTTTAAGCAAAGCGTTTGGTTGGCTTTGCTAAAGCTTCCCTTCAAGTCGAAAGCCTTTTTTGAGTCTGACAAAACGATTTTTTCTCTCTCTTTATTTTTTTTTTTGTAGCTCTTCAGTAAATGCAGCTTTTAAATATTTAACAAGCAGTTAGTTTGCTTGTCAGCTCTTAGCTGCGCAGATTTGTTTGAATTTCTTGCAAAAAAAAAAAAAAAATGTTCAATTGAATTAGTTGTTCAAGCGAACACGGGAACTTAATCACTGAATCTTGAATCTTGAATGATTCGGTTCAGCTCAGTGCTTTGATTGATTGAATTAATCATGAACCAAATGTATTAAGTGCTTCAGTTGTTCATGAGCTAGTGGAACTATCAACTAATGCTGTGCACTGGCTGTGGAACAAATGAATAATTGATGTATAATGTGTGAGCAGTTCGTGAGCAGCTCTATGGAACTAGTTCATGAACAATACTCAAGGATTTGCTATTCGACTGCTCATTGAACGTTTCAAGGACTCTTGAGCAGTTCGTGAGCAGCTCTATGGAACTAGTTCATGAACAATACTCAAGGCTTTGCTATTCGACTGCTCATTGAACGTTTCGAGGACTCTTGAGCGAAGTTGTTGAGTTCACTGGTTCATGAACTAGTAGTTCTTCTGTCCTATTCATAGGGAACTGAACAAGTTTGAGCATGCACAGCTGAACTAATTCATGAGCGAGCCAAACGCCCTATAATAACTAATCTGAACTGAGTCATATATGCTCATCTGAGTGTTATCTCAGTTGGGTCTCCGATCATTGTTATTGCTCTCGCTTTCAGCATGAAAACTCATAATAAAATAGATGATTTTCACATGTGGAATCGAAACACTTAAACGAAATATACAAATATATAAATATTTCAATTCGTACATCAAGATATTTACAGATATTTATATATGTTTTCAACATTTGCTTGAGTTAATGGAATGATTCCCTAGTGTAAACAAAGATCTGATATTTGATTTTACGTTACGTTTTAATGATGCTCCGCGCATTTTTCTTTCACTCTTCGCGGCAATATCAATCATAATATGATTTTTGTTTATATCGTTTATCGAAATATCTCGATTTATACAAATTGCTGTTCGCCTGATGAGTTTATCGAAATATTTATGCGATTCCATTTGATTGTGGAATCGAACAACGAAATCATTCAACGTCTGCATTGCTCGGACTTTGACCCATGGCAATGGGAGACCAAGAAGACAAAGAAAGGAGTCATACGACTCAGCTTTGGGTGCGAGGCGCAGTGCATAAATATTCCATATAGAATCGCCAGCTCCTAAGTGCAGAGTCTGTTAATTAACAGCTGTAATTGCAAGGGCGGCAGCTGCATATCGGATTTCCATTAAAATTTCTCACGCAGATGCGAACAGTAACTGCATTAGCCAGCAATCGCTGACAGCAATGATTGAGTGCGAGAGCCGTAGCTAACGCCAACAGTTAACCGTAACTATGAATAGCTACCCGTTACAGTTATATCTATGGTACTTCTAACAGCAATTGCTAATAGCATCATCAATAGGTGTACATAACGGCATCAGTTGATGTCAGCAATCGGTAATTGGAATCGCTAACGGCAACAGCTAGCAGCAATCGGCAACAGCAATTACCAACAGCAGCATCAATAGATAATTGCAGTGGAAATCGTCTACAGCAATTGCTGAGTGCAATCGCCAGGAGCAATAACATCACTTCGTTGCAGTAATTGCTATTTAACAGCAAAGTCTTACAGCAACAGATAGCAGCAGCTAGGTGTTGCCATTACCGTCAATAGTTAACAGTAATTGATATTGGCTGATGGGTTAGAGTCATCGTTACTAATAATAGCTACATAGAAGAATAGCTAACAGCAATTGTTAATGGTTTTAGTTGACATTGAAAATTAAAATCTGCGAGTAGCAGCAATTTCGTACAGCAAGAGCTAACAGCAACAGCAGCAACAGCAGCAGCAACAGCAGCAGCAACAGCAGCAGCAGCAACAGCAGCAGCAGCAGCAGCAGCAGCAGCAGCAGCAGCAGCAGCAGCAGCAGCAGCTAACAGCAACAGCAATTCTTAGTAGCTTTAGCTAACATGAAAGCTTAACATCTGTGAGTAACAGCAATTTCGTGCTACAACAGCTAGCAGCAACAGCTAGCAGCAACAGCTAATAGCAACAGTTAACAGCAACAGTTAACAGCAACAGTTAACAGCAACAGCAACATCAACAGCTAACAGCAACAGCTACTAGCAACAGCTAGCAGCAACAGCAACAGCAACAGCTACTAGCAACAGCTACCAGCCACAGCTAACAGCAACATCAACAGCAACAGCAACAGTTAACAGCAATTTATAGTGGCTTTAGTTAACATATAAAACTAACATATCTGAGTAACATCAATGTCGTACTACAACAGCTAGCAGCGAAATTTAACAGCAACAGCCAACAACAACAGCTAACAGCAACAGCTAACAGCAATTTATAGTGGCTTTAGTTGACATATAAAACTAGCATATCTAAGTAACATCAACACCTAACAGCAACAGTTAACAGCTACAACTAACAGCAACAACAACAGCCAACAGCAACAGTTAACAGCTAGCAGCAACAGCAACAGCAATTTCTACAATTTCAGACAGCAATGGCTAGAGCATTTCTAGCATATTCTGAATTCAGATTCCGATTTTGATTCTGATTCGGATTCTATTTAAAAGCGAAAGCGCATTAAATTTCCGTTTTTATGACAATTGTAAAAGATGTTGCAAAAATATAAAAACATTTTGCTTTGCCGCAAAGACTCGAGCGAAATTCGCTTTCATTTGCCAAACGTGCAGCTAGCTAAATGTGGTTGAACTTATTTAGCGAGTTCGCTGCATTTCGACAAATGCATTGATATATATATATATATACTTATATATATATATATTATATATATATCTATATATATAGAACTGCAATTCAGGAATTTGCCATAAATAGCACCCGGCGAGCTGTTCCCGATGCACCGGCCTATGGGACTTTATCTGTCTCGCTCTACGGCAACATACAGAGAGAGAGAGAGAGAGAGAGAGAGAGAGGGAGCTTGCTCTCGTACATGTCTCCCAGATGTATATATGTACAAATATGTATGTGTATAGGTATATGCATTTAGGTATTTCCTATATGTTTGCCTTAATTAAGAGCGAAGTTCATTTTTATGGTCTGTTTGTGAATTTTAAGTAGATTTTTTTTGTGTTTTTATAGCTTACGTGTTATTTATTTGTGTTGCTTTTTGGAATACCTGTGCTCCAAAGGGCATTATAAATGTTTAATGCCATATGCAACACTCTTAATGTATATGAGATTGATGTTGAAGTATTTTTGTATGACATGAAATTTATGTGTGTATGGAATTTTAAGAGCTCAACTGGATGGAGAGAGATATCATGATAGCTCATATAGTGGATTTGTTTATTTAAAGTATATATATGCTCTAAAATACAGTTATATACAGTTATATACTGGCGTATGAAGTTTAAAAGAGTTGTCCTTAGATATTTTATCTA